AAAATTAGGAAAAGTAGACTAGTAGAGAGTAGAGTCTGACTATTAGTTAAGTTGAAGTCTATCTTTGTGAAAGCTGTCCCAGACTGCCACATTGGCTGTGAAGATATGCCAAACAAATACACCACAGGAGAGGCACCTAAAAAAAACTAGCTGTCCAGTGTCTCTTTCAATGACACTTTTGACAGTAATGGATTCTGACTGTCAGTGCCATCAGGAAGCAACCATAGGGGAGCCTTTTACCTTGTGAATGTTAAAGTCTACTTCCAGGGGGAAAGTGGGAAAAGAACGTTAATGTACAGGATTCTTTGTGGTTCATGATGCATCTTCAACATCACTCATTCAATTGTACAAGATAGAAGATAGTCCTGCTCTCTCATGTGCATGTGCCAATGTGTTTTTTTATTTTTTATTATTAACTCCAGGCTTTACTATTCAAAAATGTCTAAAGTGATTTGTGTGTATCTTTTTGTCAACTCATCACATATTTAACTGGCATTTCTTTCTTTGTTGGCTTCTGGAGAATAATTTCTCAGCTCAAAATAAGGATTTTACTGTCCCAGATAATAAAGGCAATAGAGTATTTTTAAATTCAGTGTTTTCTATCTTATTTCCTTCTGCACGGCTTGCATTTTTCATTCTGACTTTCTGGCACCACTTAGATATTTATCTCATGTCTCCCCACAAAGCTCTCTTTTTTTATTTTATTTTATTTTTTCAGAATTGGAATGACTTTATTTTCCACACAGTATGCTGCAAAGAATGTTTCCCGGTGGCATAATTACAGAGATGTGTTGGCACTTCAGAGCATGAAAGCACTTTCCATACAGTACGTTCAAAAGTCTGACACACCATCTGTGCCCATTAGGACGTCTTTCTCTTTTGTTCTTCTCCTGTAGTTTCTGATGGGGATGGCTGTGACGATATTGACCGACATCATCCATTTTGGGATCTATTATCCGCTGAATGACTTTGCAGTAGAAAGAGGGAGGGACGTGTTTCGCTTCAGCGCAGGAATGGCCATCCTCAACCTGCTGCTCAAACCTGTGTCCTGCTTCTTTGTCTACCAAATGTACCGCGAACGTGGAGGAGATTATAATGTTAACTTTGGTGAGTACAGTGACGTGAGGAGTTTGCAGACTTTTGAAGGAAGTGATCCTATGTCCCTATAAGGATGGTTATAACGAAGGGTGGGTACTGCACAGACTGTCTGCTCTGATATCAACATGAATTTAAGACAAGGCTCAAACCACAAACTAATTATTTTTAACGAACTGAAACAATATTTGTACTTAAAAACTAAAATATAATAAAAATGTTGTCAATGTCTTCACAACAAGTGGCATTGGTGCATATGTTTATTGAGACATGGATGTCTACATGACATACATGACTACATAAAAATACCCCCTATATTAACACTAAAACTTATAAAAACGAAACAAAAAAAAAACCTAAACCTAAATGAGCAAACCCCACCCACCCTGGAAACTAACTGAAAATGAATGTGAAAATGAAATAAAAATAAAAACTAATGAAAAATACAAAACTATAATAACTCTGATTTTAAACGTCTCCACAAATGTAGATTCCTACAGTGGAAACTGATGCTATCTACCAGCATAATTAGAAAATCGGCTGTGATCTAATTCCCTTTTGAGAAGCAGATGACACGAAATACTGTAAGATAACAAGGTTTCATTGAGTACGCAGTCTGGTACAAGTATAATTATAGAACCAGTGAGAAATTATCTACTCTCCCTACAAAAAAAGATCTCCACCCCTGAGCGTGACCAAAGCTCAAGGTATTCTGTGATGCATGTGTCCAGGGGCGCTGTGAGATGCTCCCTATGTTGTTTTATGCTGTTTGTCATGAAAGGCCTGCCAAGTGCAGCACAAACTAGGAAGACTCTGTGCTAAACCACTGGCAGATGATTCCACAGTCAAACTAATTAGTTACAGTCACAAGACATTTCAAATGCAGCAAAATGTCTGAGCTGCAGTTCGGTCGGGCAAGGAAATCATTTCTCCACGAGTTGTTTGCAGCATTTCTGTGTCATCCTGGCCACTGATTTAAACCGCATAAAGGAACATATTAAACCGATGCAGGCTGAAAAACTTATAATGCCATTATAGAAAAATAGCACAGGACTGATGTGAAAGAAACTCTGTACCGGTGCAGCATGTTTGTCCACAAAAATAGAAATTTTGTGATGTTATTGACTGAGTGCACAGCGCTCTCCTTGTGGGTTGACAAATGATAAGTACACTTCTTCCATTGACTGGTCAGAGATACTCAAGATGTGTTCTTTGATTAACTGTGTGTGGCCATTGATTTTTGGACTCGGACCCACACTGCTGAGAGCTTTTTCCATCAGAAATCTCACTGAGCTGTGACGTCTGCTGGACTCAAACATTTTATTCAAAGCTTCATTTATATGGATTAACCAAAAGTGGTTCTACTCATCATTTTTAGTGAAGGAATTTGGTGGTAGTAGTGAGACTGGTTCTGCACAGGGATGGTGAGTTTTCCTAAGACAAACAACAAAAATGAGGCTGGATATGTAATATTACAAGCTAAAATAGTAATTTATTACACTAAACACTGGGAAAAGTCATAAAATCTCTGGTGTCTGCATTGCGACAGCACTGCCGTTGACCAAATATATCTCCTGATTTGACTGTTTGGAGGATAATTGAATATTGATGAACCTGCTCTCTGTGGTTTTACTTTAACGCCACATACACACAGCAGGTACATCCATTAGACTGTGATTGGCTGCGTAGTGACTGATGAATGTAGCTAATGTTAGTCTCAGACAATGTGTGTTTTAATTGCAGTCTGATTGCATAGCTGGCATTAACATGGTTCCCTGCTGCACCAGGCACTCTGGGAACCAGGCAATCAGGTGCATGTGAGTGAACTGTTGATTCAGGCATACAGGGAACACACTGAATTTTGATTGGCGAGCCTCTTATGGTTTAAATCACTTGGGGGTTTTGTGTGTTTAGTCTTATTTTTACATTGCTTACTACAATAGAGGCTCTAAGTGTATGCAATCACATATTTAACATTAAATTGACAGTTTGCAAAACCTACCCACCTCCCATGAACATTGTTGAGCCTTGACTTACTTGAATAGGCTCTTTGCAACTCTAGGGAGCACAGGCCTTTGACAAATGTCCTCCACCTCACACTCCTGCAACCTTGACGTGGTGGAGAGGCTTAGTCTAGTGATATGCATGCTGAGAGCTATGAAGGATGGGGTTTAATACCCCTGGGAGGTTCAACCAAACTGGGCAGGACAAGGGTGATGAGGCAGATGAAGCAGTCCCCATCCTCCAGGTTAGTGGTTGGGTGTGGGGTTAAAGCTGCAGTAAGTAAATATTTTAAAAACAACTTCTTGTCATATTTGTTGAAATTGTCACTTTATACAATAAGAAAATATAGTGTTCTTCTGGCTACCTACTGCAGCTTTAACTGTCCCACCCTGGGAAAAAGTGCAAGTTACAAAAACTTTCTCCACATGCTGAAGTAATAAAATACTAAAATAATGATAAATAATTTCTCTACTACTACTACTACTACTACCTACATTAAACTGTGTGCTTAGAGGTGGTGTTAGAAAAGCTCAATTCACATTGAGTGGAATTTGGGGTCTACTGTGTAGGTTAAAATTAGCGATTGGATTATAATTGGTGATTGGAGCTTTAGTTGTATGTCTCGCTATCACATGCATCAAATGCGTACTTAAAACCCTTTTTGCCAGTTTCTCATTTTGACACATGTCAATTAAATGTCAGCAGGAGTTAACATTAACTCAGGGAGTTAATTAATTAGCAAGCTAACTATAGCAGCTGTCATTTCAGCTAGAAAAACTGTCAGTCAGTGGCTTTTGTTTACATCCGTAAGAAATCATAGACCCATTCTATTTATGAACTGTGCTATAATCTAAAGCTCAAGAACATTCAAGAACATATATGGTTACGCAATCAGTTACTGTGTAATCATCGTGGGTAAGAATTTGTCATAACCTAAATTTCCCTGTTCTTTCCCTGCATGTCATCACTTCCAACCTCACCGTCTGTCTTGCTGTTTGTCAAACTGTCATGTTGTTTTATCTAAGTGAAAACTCGTGTTGTCTCATGTTTTTTCCTGTTATGATTTGACTGTTTGTCTTGTGTCTCTTCTCTTCTTCTCTTTTCTCCTTCTTCTCCACTGCTGACCTTTGACCTCTCAGACTTAGAGACCTCTGTGGACAGTCGATGCACTACGGATAGTGCTGACAGTGCCTTTATAGGCCGCCGCTATTGATTCCCGGCTTCTTCCTTTTTTACCATTTCTCTTCTCCAATCATCCTCTTCCATCCTCTCCCACACAGGAAGTAAGATTACGAATCAGGCTGCAGAACAAAAAAGACTTTTTTTCTTTCCCACTTGTTACCTTGTTGATGTTCTGTTGTCCATCTTTATCTTTTTAGTTATTTATACTGGTTTATCTTTTTACCTGTCTATTCCTACATCTATCATCTCCCATACCTGCCCGAGTATCTGTGCTTGTCAGTGTACTGTTTGTATTCATGTCTGATCTATTATATGGGTTTATATGATTCTGCAACTTTGCATCTATGTATTATTCAAATCCTTTTACTCTCCAGACACCTCATTTGTGTTTGTGTATTCTGTTTGCATATATTTAAAGCAGAGCTGCATGATAGTGCATATTCTCATATCAGCCTAATTAAAGTCAAGATAATGTTTACTTATAATAGACCATGACTGTGACCTGTTTGAAATGAGGCTGCATTCACACTGCAAGCAAGTAGCCCAAATCAAATTTTTCTTTTGCTCATATGTGACAATAATCTTTTAAATTCAGATTTGGGCCACTTTAATATGATTTTTCTGCAGTGTGACCTCAGTGAGAGCAGTCATGTAAGAATTCATGTGACTTTTACATCACTCTAGATCAGTGGGGGATCGCCAAAGCTTCATGGGGGGTCGCGAGGCCTTCTTGATTTTAAAGGGTGAAAGCTTTAAAAATGTACACAGTAGGCCTGTATCTTATCGTCTTGCAGTAAAAACGTGTGTAGTTATAACAACCACAGAGTGAATAAAACAAGCATCAGGGAGAGAAAAACATAAAATCTGTCAAAAAAAGAAGCCTATTAAGTATGTTTGATTGTTAGAAAGACATAAAGACACTTGACTTGTATAGAAAATATTCACAGGAATAATCTGCTCAAAATTCATTCAAATCACTCCTTTTACACATTCATGCAGTTATTGTGTTCATGACTGTTTTTGTCACACATTAAATATAATATGAAATATCCATAAAATATGTTATTTAGTTAGGAGGTCATCAGTTTTGTCAATGACAGGGGGTCCCTTAAGGAAAAAGGCACATGACTTCAGCACTGTGACCTGTTTACACTGGATTCTGATATAGGCCACATTTAAAAAAAACAAAAAAAACAATGAACAGCCAAACAAAAAAAAAAATCTGATTCAAACAATAAATCAAAATTGAGCACTGAGGCTTGCAGTTGGAACAAGTAACACAGGTTATTGGAGGTTTGTTTTATTAGAATTATTAATGTCTGCTTTTTAATAAAATAAAAGAATAAACGTCACAATTGCAAAGAGTTAGTTAAATGAATATATACTTCAAATACTTAAAATCATCCAAACCCCCTGCAATGAAGGTAAATGGCTTGTTTGATTAGCATTAATATGTGCATGTTTGTCACAGTAATAGGACTCCGGGCCATGCAGAGGTAAGATCGTTCGAGCCTTTGAACTTACAAAAACGCGTTATTGGTATTCCGGCCACGTCAGAGTCGGGGGGCTGTTTGTTTCTGAAGACTATTCAGATGGATTACATCAGTGCCTTCATAGTATTTATTATAAAGCATGTTTACATGAGGCATGATGGAAGGCTGTTGAACATTTTTCAGACTCATTCTCAGATTATTGATGGTGGTCTGTTCCTGTGGCCAGATTTTATTCAATTAACTGCAGTGCCAGCAGCTAATTAGACTGTATTGAGTGCAGAAAGAGAGTAAATGGGAGGAATTTCACCACCTCTCAACAAGTTTTTTTTTTAATGTTCTCTCAGCCTGGCACCCAGAGCCAATGTGAGCTTTACTGTGTGTTCACAAAAAGAGTTTCAAACAGTATAATCTATATTTATCCAGAGGGGGCCAGATGCTCAAGTCAGGAAAACAAATCTGCCCAACTGTGTCATGAATCAGTGTGTGAGGAGAAATGAGTGTGAGCCTGTATAAATCAAGAAAGAAGAAGTTGCGTAGAAGCTTTTCTAAGGGGCCTTTTCTTTGTCTTAATATATTGCAACATCCCTGATTAGTTGCAGTGTTTCTATGCAGATATGATTATGAATAATACATTTGCATGGCGGTGGTTGTGTGTATTGAAGACTTTTTTTTGCTTGTCTCTGCAGGTTTCCCCTCTGTATCACGAAACAGAGATGCCTACCAGTCCATTGACCAGCAGGATGAGTCTTCAACCCCAGCAAATCCGTTCAACCAGGCCCAGGACAGCAAACCAGGAGCCCGCACATACTGAGAGAGCCAGGCGGTGAACAATGCAGCATTTTCCTCTGACTTCTCATGCAGCAGTACAGTGCTTAGGGGCAGTTTTTTTTTACAATCGATCCCACGTCGGTCTCTGTGTTTTGTACAATTGGTCTGCTGCAGATTGCAGCTCTGAAATAGAATTCTTTTATTATGGTAAATCATTAGCTCTGATTGGGTTTTAGAATAAAATATGGCACACATATAATTTTTCCTTCAAAGGTGGTAATGTTTTTGCTGAGCCAGCACATCGCTGCTGAATAAATACAGAGAAAATCTTGTTCTGCCACTACCATGCTGTGTTACTGTTGTTACTGCTATTTTTAGTGGAGAGGTATTGAATGGAACTGTTGTGTCTGCAGCAGTTTTGTCAGTGTACTTTTTTCTAAAGTAGTCATATTTTTTTTTTATTTTTTATTTTTTTTGTACAAAAGTGGCACTCACAGACATTAAGAGTCTTGTCTGTTTTTCTTTGTGATCTGTGAATTATTACGTTCTACTTGTATGCAGTGTTTGTGTGATGATTATTTTCCAGTTGGTCTGTTCTACGGTACAGCGATGCTTAAAGCACTGGACAGTTTTTAACACAAGAGGACTAAAATGAATGTTCGATGTCAGTGCCTTAGAAGCTACCTTGTGCCTTTTGTACTTTTTCAACTCATACGAGCTGAGAAATCGTTATACCGGATTGACGACATGATGAGCAAATATGAAGTTACAGGCCTTTTTTTCTGATAACAAATGAACAAGACCTTGCAGTGCAGCACACAATCAGGCTCTCTTCATTTTTCCTGGTGTTGATCTATGCAATGTATTAAAAGTACTGCCATATCTAGCTCTGTGACCATGCAAAATACATAAAAACATAAGAATGTTTGAGAAAAGAAGATAAATATGTAGATTTTTGTAATGATCAGTTCACGCTGTGGCTGCAGGGTGGATTTTACTTAGTGACTATCATTTGGATTTTTTTACGATCAGTTCTCTTTTGAAAGACTTTCAGGTTCTGAGTTCCTGTGTTGAAATCATGATGACCTGCGTGACAGAATTGGTAACCATGTTGGTCATATAATGGTTATGTGAAATAATCACTGCTGTAGTACCAGAGGCTGTTGAGTCATATATACAATGAGAGGCACCTAATTTGCTTACATACCTCATGTAATTATACCTTAATTCAGTTTGTTCACTGTCTTGGACTGTATTTTACTGTCTCTAAACTGTCTGTCTGACAAAACAAACCATAACCGATGGTTCCACGTCCCTGTGAGCCTATAACAACCTGTTACTAGATCGCCAAAATACCAAATGATTAACACTTACAGCTCTCTGTGATAACGTCAAATAGCACCACCATTGACAAAAAGTAAAGATTTAACAGCAGGTGATTGTGTGACTGAGAAAAACCTGCAGAAAGGCAATAACATTGTTTTTTGTAATTCTGTTCATAATAAAAAATAATTTAAAGGACAACTGTGTAGGATTTAGTGGCATCTAGCAGTGTAGATTGCAACTCCCTCGCTTCACCCAGCCCTTCAAATCATGAAGGGGAAACTATGGTGGCTGTGAAACACACAAACAATGTAAACGCCTCTATCTAGAGCCCGTATTTGGTTTGTCCATTATGGGCTACTGTAGAAACATGGTGATACGGTGATGATAAAAACATCTTCCCTAACCCTATTCTAAGGTAACAAAAACATAACAATTCTAATTTTCAGGTGATTAAACACTAATGAAAACACAGTAATGAATGTTATGTTCCATTTCTGCCTCCTGAATGTTACACACTGGACCTTTGAAAGAAAAAATAAAATTTTTGCACAAGAAATATTCTAGGTATGAATAGACAGTTCAGAAGGGTCTCTGATTAAGCTAAATGAGTTTGTCCTGTAAGAGACTAAAATTTCATATTTGACTGTGAAAAAATCATTACATAGAGTTTCTTATTATCTTGATACCTGCATTAAATATTATCCTAATTTGATAATCTAACATGACAAGAAAATTCTCCTTTTTTTAGTCATGCTGTTTCATTTGCTTCCTCCTGAAAAGGTGGACATATCCTAAAATAAGGCTGCTGTAGTTGCTTCAGCTTAATGTCTCTTGCTCTGATAATGAATGGTATTTTTTTAATTGAAAGGCACAAGGCTAGACAACTTTAAAAGAATGCAACTGTTACTACTGCTGAAATTTTGTTTTCACTAAATTAAGATTATAAGAGAAAAATATGAAAAATGTGGGCTACGTGTTTTCATGAAAATTCTGCAGCCCTGCCTTAATTTTGGTTCCGATTTTTCCAAATGCTCTTTTTATGACTGACTGGTCATATTTGACACGTAAGAGAGTCTGTTGTTGTCATGCTTTTGCAATTCAAGGTTGCCTCTGATTTGACATTTTATGTTGGAAGTTGTTTTTTTCTTAAAAATAAAGAACAACAATGTATAACATTTGTTGAATGAAGTTTTATAACACAGATAAACCGCATGCACAGAGGATTTGTATTTCTTCTCCTCTCTGCTCCTCTCAGAGATCTCTTTATTGCCCTGCTTTTATTTATCCAACCAGACAACACATTTATCTTCCTTTCCTCTTTTACTCACATTTTTCCTCTCCACTGTGCATATTCCCAGAGCCATACTACCTTCAATGCCAAAAATTCAGCTCAACCACTATTTACACCGCAACGGCACTTGACTTAAAATAACACAGAAAATGTGAAAAAGCATCATGAAAGTGAAAGATTTATTTTCTGTCTGCTGCCTCTTGCATTGCAAATACAACAAGAGTAATTAGAGTGATAATGCTGGACACACCTGGAATGTAAAAACACCTGATTTTCATATTTCATCCATACCCCAGGTGAAAAAAAGTGTTCCTCAATAAATTACACAAGTATTGGAGTAGTACACACAGAAAATAAACTTAGTTACTTACTTATAGTCAAGGTCTCTGTCCCTGAAGGCTTTCATTATCGCGAGGCAGTGAATGGTTAGCTTGAATGGTCTATTGTCCTGAAGTGTGGAGGCTGTGGAGCCGCAAGCCCTTGAGGAAAGAGCCTTTTCATTTGTTTGTTTATAGCCTATAGTAGTGCCTCTTAGGCCTTATAAGAAATCATGAATGGAAATTCTAGTGCTGCTGCAGCAACAACAGCAATCTTATATGTCCATATGCATAAACACACACTAACATGGATGTACCACAACAGCTGCATGTTCAACATATTAGACTACAGCCCAAAATGTTTTATTTAAATATTAGCAGTAAACACCACATTTTGATGTCAGTCCATCTGGAGCAAAAACATAACATGGCCAACTGACAGACAGACAATAATTTCATCACAAAAATTAGCCTCATTCAATGTTACACACCCATCTTTTCTGAAAGCCACAAGTGTGCTCGTTCTCGAAAGAGATGTAGTAATTATTTACCATAGTAGATAGGTATATTAATGTAAGTTTAAGATGTAGGCTATAGACTCAGTATCCTTGCAGTTCAATGCTTTAGTTTATGGGTCCATCATTTCCGAATCATTTTCTAATACTTACCTGGTAAATACATGTGATGTATTTGTCATAATTTGTATTTGTCATAATTTTGTCATAATTTGTATTTGTCATAATTT